GATTTGCCATAAGTTGCAACGGCACTGAAAAATGGGACCTATGACCGCTTTTCACAGTTACGACCGTTGCAGCATCCGTGGTCACCTAATCAAAATTCAGATGCTTGGCAACTCACTCGTATTTACGACGGTCGTAGAGTCTCCTTTTGTGACCTTCTGACAAGGAAGGTCAATGGGGAATCCCGATTCACTTAACAACCAAGTTACTAACTTAATAACAGCAGTGATTCACTTAACAACCGAGGCAAGAAAGATCATAAAATGGGACAAAAGTGAATTAACAACTGTCTCACTTAACAACAGAAATGTTGTGCTCAATTGTGGTCATAATTTGAGGACTACCTGTAGCTTCTTTTCCTGAAAAGGCCTTTATGTTGGAGAATATAAGCTGAATTTTAAAATGATTCCATGCAGCAGTTTAATTTAAAAGGCTAATACCGTTTAATTTTGCAGGAAAAGTACCTTATTTGTATCTTATTTGTCAGTGCCATTTAATATTTATTGATTACATTTAATTTTTTTTAAAAAAAAATACTTGCATTAGTCTACAGTAACCACCATTTAATTTGCCTCTGTGAGGTACAATAAATAGAAACCCTATTAAAGATTATATTTGCTCTCAATTTTTTACTTTAATGGTCAATTAATTCAAATTGCTTCTTGACCAGTCAGATGCCAAGTGGCACTCAGGAAAACAAATATATACATACATACATACATACATACATATATTTTAACGAATGGATTTCAGAGAGGTTAAGAGTTTTGCTGTTCTAATTTTCAACCCAAGGGTTCAAATTTAAGTGTGTTTACAGCCAGGGAGACGTGCTTTCTCTCCATGAAAGGGAAAGTAAAACTATATGCCTGGGAAAATTAAGTAAATTATGATAATTGGATGGTGTCCCTGGGACTCAGAAGGCCTGTGTCGAGGAAGAAACAGTTAGAGAAATAATCAAGGATCTTGTTATGGGTATAGAAGTAATGGAAGATCTTGTGGAGGCCATAATCTAAGAAGGCCAGCATCATTTTCAAGTCTTTGTCCCATGTTGCCTGGGTAACAAACCACAGAAGGATGGAGAAGAGTTGGCAGGCACTGGAAATTAAATGAAACATAAGCCACGTTTCAACCGTTGAATAAAGTTTTTGACAGCGGAGTCTACAGATCCCCAAAGCGAGTGCAGAGAAGCTTGTTCAAAGAAAATGGACACTGCATGATGACTCCAAGGTTGGGTCTTCATAGCGTTGTCAGAAAATCTCCCAAATGCAACAAAACTGCACGTTCAGCCCGTTCCCTTTTCGATCAAGCAGGTTACACCAATAGATCCAGTTGACCTCTGAAACTCTAAATCCTTCTCTGGATTTTGCTATGCAACATGATTCAAGGAATGAGGAACCCTTTGGTCATTTATTAAAATCAGTTGAGACTTTAGAAAGAGTACAGAGAAGAGCAACAAAGATGATTAAAGGACTGGAGATTAAAACCTATAAAAAACGGTTGCTAGAATTGGGTATGGCTAAGTTTATTGAAAAGAATAATTAAGATTGACATGATAGCAATGTTCCAATATCTGAGGGGCTGCCACAAAGAAGAGGGAGTCAAGCTATTCTCAGGACAAGAAGCAACAGATGGAAACTAATCAAGGGGAGAAGCAACCTAGAACAAAGGAGAAACTTCCTGACAGTTAAAACAATTAATTAGTGGAACAACCTGCCTCCAGAAGTTGTGGGTGCTCCATCACTGGAGGTTTTTAAGAAGAGACTGAACAACCACTTGTCTGAAATGGTATAGGGCAGCGATGGCGAACCTTTTAGAGACCGAGTGCCCAAACTGCAACCCAAAACCCATTTATGCATCGTCGAGTGCCGGGTGGGCATGGCCCATTGGGTGGGTGTGTCCCATTGGCTGGGCGTGGCTGCAGTGGTAATGGGAGACTGGGTGGGACTAAAAAGTTCAATCAATCAATTCCAACTTTGCAAGATCTTTTTTTTCCCGTGAGAAGTTGAAATTGATTGATTGAACCTTTTTTTTTTTTGCACATGGCGGTGGAGGTCTAAAGCGAAAAGGTTTTATAAAACCCAGCTGAAGGCCTAGGACTGGGGCGATGGCGCATGTGCCCACAGAGAGGGCTCTGAGTGCCGCCTCTGGCACCCGTGCCATAGGTTCGCCACCACTGGTATAGGGTTTCCCGCTTGAGCAGGGGGTTGGACTAGATGATCTCCAAGGTCCCGTCCACCTCTTTCTGTTATTCTGATATCTGGATTTTAAGGGCAGCTGGTAAAACTTTTTTTTTAACCTTCATAAAGCATTATTTTAAGTAAAGAAATCGGCACCCTCAATTTCTCAGCTTCTTTTTTGTTGTTGTTGTTCGCTTAAAGCAGCTTATTAAGCATTTTTCTCTGGCAGCTCCCTTGGTGTACAGAATAACAATGAAAAATATGGTTTCCAACCTTTTAACAGCTCGTCTAAATGTAAATGCTGGAGTCAAAGGGGGAAGAAGAGGAAAGTGAGCAGTCTAAATCAGATGACTGTGTTCAGCTATTTATACTCAGCTTTAGCTTCTACAAGACTGAATGAAAATGCTGGATTTGTTGACGAAATGATTAGGGGGGCTGGAGGTTATAGGAATTGGATGTAGAAGGATTAGGGGTGACATGATAGTAGTATTCCAGTATTTGAGGGGCTGCCACAAAGAAGAGGGGTCAACCTAATCTCCAAAGCATTAGAAGGCAAGACAAGAAATGATGGATGGAAACTAACCTAGGAGAGAAGCTTCTGGAATTAACGAGAAACTTCCTAACAGTGAGGACAATTAACCAGTGGAATGGCTTGCCTCCAGAAGTTATGGATGCTTCAACATGGGACGATTTTAAGAAGAGATTGGATAGCTGTTTGTTCAAAATGATATAGGGTTTCCTGCCTGAGCAGGAGGTTGGACTAGAAGACCTCCAAGGTCCCTTCCAGGTCCATTATTCTATGTTTTAGGGTTACCACTAAACCCAACTATTCTTATTTCCTAATTGGGTTCCTTTATTATACAATGTTTATTAATCCTTCAAAGCAGAAATAAATATCCTAAATTATATACCGTATTTTCCGGCGTATAACACGACTCGATCTATAAGACGACCCCCGACTTCGGAGACGATTTGCATGGTTTAGAAAGTCGTCTTATACGCCGGAAAATACGGTAATTCAACGCTTCTACAAAGGAGAAGGATGTGCTTTCAGAGCAAACGTATCGAAGTGATGATCCATCCATTTCTTCAAAAACAAGCAACATTGACAAATCTGGGATTCCTCTAGAATTAATCTCTGGCTTTGAATCACGGAGACTTTGTGGAAGTGGGTTTTGTGTAACCCTTCGACAGGAAACCTAGAAGCCACAGCAAATCCTCTGGGGATCTTTGCAGATTGCTGAGCTGGTGCTTTTGTTAGTAAAGTGTGATTTTCCTAACATCAAAATACAGATCAGACCTAAAAGTTTCCCTCAAGGCAGATTTCAATCTTCTGGCGGATTGCATGATCATCTGTGTACACTAGCTATACAGTAGGGCTGATGATTTATTTTGAAGTTTTATTTCCTTTGTGCCTATTTGTATTTTTGTATCAGGTTTATATGTTTGATATGATCAGTTGACTTAATATCCTCCTCCTCCTCCTCCTTCTCCCCCTCCTCCTCTTCCTCCCATAATATTTTCCCCTCATGTTCCTAATTTAGCAGAAATTCTGGGTTGGTTTCTTTTTGCTGGCAGCCGTCTTCTCCAACTCCTAACAAGATTTAATAATAATAATAATAATAATAATAATAATAATAATAATAATAATAATAAAGTTGGAAGGGACCTTGGAGGTCATCGAATCCAACTCCTTGCTCAGGCAGGAAACCCTACACCATTTCAGACAGATGGCTGTCCAGTCTCTTCTTAAAAATTTCCAGTGTTCCACTGGTTAATTGTTCTGTCAGAAAGTTTCTCCTTAGTTCTAGGTTGCTTCTCTCCTTGATTAGTCTCCATCTGTTGCTTCTTGTCCTGCCCTCAGGTGCTTTGGAGAATAGCTTGACTCCCTCTTCTTAACTCTGCTTAGCCTCTAAATTGGGTCACGGGCTGCCATGCCAGCTAACCAAAAAGACCAAGTCCGCTGACCAAACCAGTATATTGTTACCAGGAGACCTCTGGGAAGAGATTCCATTTTAACAGGCATCCTAAGAGTTCAGGAAGTAAAAAGACAAAGAGGGGGAAAGGGTGGATTCAGGTTTAAATAGAGGGGAAACATTTTTTTCCCTCATTTTTTTGTGAATGTAGGATGGATGGATGTCCACCTGTGTGAAGAGTGGGATTGTTATCCAGGCAGTTTTCAAAGGTTTCCTCAACTATTAGCCTATCCATCTCCTCAGACATGAGGGGGAAAAAAACATACCTTTGTGCTCAAAGATAGGTTGACCACAGGCCTTTCCACAATCAATATACTGAAAGAAAGACTAAGTGGAACTCTCAAACCCTTTCATAGCTACTGGTGCGTCCGCTGAATATGGGAACACAAAGACAGAAACCTGGCCCTTTATAATTAATTAAAAAGTGAGATCTGATAGGGGGACTCTATAGGGTAACCTCACTGGCTTTGCGAAAATGGCACGAATGAGGAGTGGACCCAGCTTAAAAGGACATGTTCATCCATTTTAATCAGCAGCAAATTACAGCTCTCAGGACTCTGCCCTGATGACATGGCCTCTGGGCCTTGTACGTCCCTGTCCTCCTTCCATTATATATTCAAGATGGACAGTATTTAATATTTATTTGTTATGTATATGTAGGGGTGTGAGTCTATACATATGCTATATATAGTATGTTTTAGGTGTGTGTCATGTATGTGTCTCACTTTGAGAGCGGACAACTAAATTTCATTTTTGATGTGTGCCGTTGTGCCCACGGTAAAAAAAAATGACAATAAAGGTTATCTTATCTTCTGAGTCTTGCAATTTTGGAAAATTGGGGGCACTTACCAACGTATCCAGGGGTACCACAGGCAGTGGACATGACATCCCCTTTCCCCTCCATTTTGGACAATCCGAAATCACTGATCATGATTTTAGAGTCTTCATCCTGGCTGTAGTACAAAAGGTTTTCAGGCTGTAGGGACAGTAAAGAAAAAAAAAACACCACGATATGAGAATGAATGACAGAAGAATACAAATTTTGAGTCAAAGGAAGTGTGTTTCTAGTTTGCATCCCATCCAGTTTTTCAGTGTAAAAAACATGTTTAAATCTTGGCTTGCCAAGAGTACAGCAATGAGTAGGAAGTCATTGGTGTACCTTAATAAGAAACAAAATGGAGTTAATGAGTTAAACACAATTAAAGGAAATGGAGCTAAAGAGGAATGCATCTTGGAGAGATCTGCAAGAGAGACTATCTTAGCAGTTACAACTGATTAAACTAGACTTACTGAAATTAATTTTCAAATACCTTCTAAGGAGGTAAGCTTGCTCCACTCTTTGCCTGGCTACAACAGGAGACCCCACTGACTGTCAGGCTGAGATGACTTCTGTACATAGGCTTCAGCAATAAAACAGCTAATTGAATTCTTCAAGTGCGGGTCTGGAAGTTTGTGCCTGAAATTAATCACCTTAGACTCATGGTTTGCACCTGGGTGAGACTAGATAAAGTTCAATGGCATTCATGGGAGTCAGACTTCACTCTCCTGTGCCCACATAGGGATTCTAGACTGAGTCCCCATTTGACTCCTTCGCCTGGCTCAGCCAGCCTCTCTCTTATACTCCTCCTCCAATAAAAAGTCAGGAAAGAAAAGGAATATTGAGGAGGAATATCAGAAGAATAGGTTGGGTCGTGAGTGAGTGAGCCAGATATGACAACGATGACAGGAAAGGATCATATAGACCAGTGGTTCTCAACCTGTGGGTCGGGACCTCATTTGGGGTCAAGCGACCATTTCACAGGGGTCGCCAAACAACGCAGTCCGCCATTTTCCCCCCCTTTTCCTTAGCTGTGCTACTCCCTTTTATTCTATTGGCTTTTGAAAGCCAATAGAATAGACTCTCTTGAATAGAGTCTAATTCTATTGGCTTTCAAAAGCCAATAGGAATTGTCCAGGCTGTCTCTGCCCTGCTGGGCCTGCCAAAAGTCCCATTCTGCAAACGGTGCTGCACCAGTTGAGTAGTCCTCGACTTACGACCGGTTGAGTAGTCCTCGACTGATGACCGGTTGGGAGTCGCGGCATTAAAAAGATTGAGAACCACTGATATAGACTGACTCTCAGGATTCACCTACAGTTTGGCTGACTATCAAAAGTTGCAAGCGTCTAAAATACTAAAATCGGATAATGAAAACAAGCATTTTTGGAGGAAGGTGCCTACCTCTTTTGCTAATATTATTGGAATAAGTCAAAGATTTCTGTGCAGTTGCTAAAGGATTATATTAAGTAAGAATCTGCCAATTTCTTGATCCAGGACATATTGTTCTGGATAATACAGATGTCTTTCAAAGCTTTCCATGCCCAGAATACCTCAACCTCTTTGTGGTTTGGCAGATTCACTTCCATAAATTGGCTAAACTGCCTCAGTCCTAAATTTTATGGTCCAGAGGAGAGCAGAGAATTCCCAAATTCACCCAGGGCGGTCTGCTTCCAGACTGATGAATTCTACAGATCTCTAAAATACAGGTAGTTCTTATGACTACAATTGAGCCCCAAAAGTTCTGTTCTTATGTGAATTTTGCCCCATTTTTACGATCTTTCTTGCCACAGCTGTTAAGTGAATCACTGCAGTTGTTAAGCTAGTAACTCAGTTGTTAAGTGAGTCCTTTGATTTTGCTTCTCAGAAAGTCGCCAATTGGGATCACGTGACCTCAGGGCACTGCAACCGTCATAAATAGGAGTCAGTTTCCAGATGTCTGAATTTTGATCACGTGACCCTGGGGATGCTGCAATGGTTGTAAGTGTGAAAAATGGTCAAAGGTCACTTTTTTCAGTGCGGTTGTAGCTTTGAACAGTCACTAAATCAATTGTTGTAAGTCGAGAACTAACTGTAAATGCAAATCCGGTTCCAGCATGATGTCATTAGCTTTCAAAATATGCTCTTTTTGATTCATTAACATCTAATAAACCCTTTTTTAAAAAAAAATACAGGCACTTCTGAAAACTCATCTCTGTTATGGCAGTTTTCCATCAATCAATTCTCATTTGTGATCAAGGAAGAGAAGATAATCAGATCCACTGTTACACTGGCCAGGAACTGAGCAGTTTTGCTGATTTGAGAACAATCCTCAAACATATTTGAACAAGAGAGAGAGAGAGAGAAAGAGAGAAAGAGAGAGAGAGAGAGAGAGAGAGAGGGAGGGAGGGAGGGAGGGAGGGAGAGAGAGAGAGAGAGAGAGAGAGAGAGAGAGAGAGAGAGAGAGAGAGAGAGAGAGAGAGAGAGAATGAATATTTTCAGTAACATTGGAAACAGGTTTGCCAAGATATTTGTACAAATCCTATCATAATTTTCCAGACAGGGGATTCCACGAAATAGAAATGGACTGGATGACTTAATATCATTGTATTTATTCCTTGGTTCAAAAATCAAGCTGACGTGGGTAGTTATACAACCATTGAAGGCAACAAAACATCGTATTACGGAAAAGGGGCGGGGCTTTGTTTAATATTCACATGAGATGAGAACATTAAAAGATTCATATAGCTGTTATTTATGTGATTGCAATTATTTTATTTGTGTCTGCGTGTGCGTGTGTGTTGCATTTTTATTAGGTCTGCACCTGTCCTTGGGGAAAAGTGCTTTGCAATGCAAGGGGAGTGCTCGTGAACACATCTTTTCTCATGGTTAAATTAAAAATTGTTCGATTTGCTGGCTGTGAAAGCAGCCACATCCTCTCCTGGGCTCCTGCACTTCTGTGAAAGTTACTCCGAGCTCTGTGTACCTGTATGGACCTGTATAGCCACAGTTTTTGGACAGAAGCAGCTTCAAAAGCAACAGTGTTTAAAAGACACGGCTGCTTTAAAGATATCAAAATATCACCACATTATGAAAAAGATGTTTAGATTTTGGAAATAGTGCAGAAGCCAACATAATTAGGCTAAAACATATGAAGAACGGTTGCTGGAATTGGGTGTGTCTAGTTTAATGAAAAGAAGGACTAGAGGTGACAGGATAACAATCTTCCAATGTTTGAGGGGCTGCCGCAAAGAAGACGGGCTCAACCTATTTTCCAAAACCCCAGAAGGCAAGACAAGAAGCAATTGAGGAGAGAAGCAACCTAGAACTAAGGAGAAAATTCTTACAGTGAGGACAATTAACCAGTGGAACAGCTTGCCTCCAGAAGTTGTGGGTGCTCCAACACTGGAAGTTTTTAAGAAGAGACTAAACAGCTAATTGTCTGCTTGAGCAGGAGGTTGGACCAGAAGATCTTCAAGGTCCCTGTTGTTCTGTTAAATTATGGACCTTCTCCTGTGGGACGCACTGCTGTGGTTCCCCTACTTCTTATACGTCCAATGAGAAAAGTGATCTATTTGAGTAGATTGTTCTCCTCTGCCCAGCTCACCCTGTCTGTGGAACATCTACAGAATTCCGACATTTATTGGAGTTATTTCCATCAATGTAAATTCCAAGTCATATATAAATTAATCCCCTTCCATAGCTCTTTTTTTTTAAAGGCACCTTTCATATTACTCCCTGGCGTGTATTGCTATATATTGCTAATAAGATTAATTTGTTTAAAGAAGTAGTATCAAGGAATTCCTTCCACTGAAATGGAACAGGATCAGCAGCTTAGCCACGCGTTGACAGAGTTACTTGAGCCTGTTCTTCTGCATAAAGAATAATTCTTAGAAGCAATTTCCTGCAAATCCTGTTGCTTCAGCAGAAGATTGACTTAGCAAAAGGTGATACTTCTAAACCCTCCTGTTTTGGCTTTATGCTTTACCGGCTGACTTAGCAAAAGCAATGAATGGCCAAGCTGACTGGACAAGTAATAATTAATCCACTAATTTATCCACTATTATCTTTCATCCTCAAAAAACAAAGAAATAAAAGGGAGTTTTTAAAAAGTCTTGCTTTCACACCAAGGCTCTCTAAATTTTGATACCTCCAGTTGCATGTAAGTTATTATAGGAGGACAAGATGGAGGATGGACAAATTGAAAGATTATTATGTTTTCCTAAAAACATAATAATAGTATAGTCAAAACTACAAGGCTCTTTAGAGTAGCTGTAATCTGTCGCCATAAAGATGCTATTGTAAATATTTATTTATTTGATTTACGCAGAGTTCTGCAACTTTCTTCACCTAGGCTGAATGAGAATTTTGAGACTTGTGCTCCCAATTTCTAGTGGTTGTTTTCTAGATTGGAGAAAGCTCATGTCACATCTGTCTTGTTTGGGTGTGTGCCTTTGAGTCAGGGTTGATTTCCTGCAACTGCCTGGACTAATCCCTGCAAGATTTCAGAAGTGGTCTGCCATTGCTTGCTTCCTTGGGCTGAGACAGTGTGACCGGTCCAAGACCATCCAGCTGGTTCTGTGACTAAGATGGGACTACAACAGGGGTGTTAAACTCAATTTCATTGAGGGCCGCATCAGCATTGTGGTTGCCCTCAGGCCAGGTGGGTGTGGCCAGGGTAGGTGCAGCCTACTGGGTGGGCGTGGACGGAGTGGGTGAGGCCTACTGGGTGGGCGTGGCCAGCTCTACATCGGTCGCATCAAGGGTGCCCGTGGGGGCCTGGGCAGGAGTGGGACAGATCTGAGGGTCTCTGGCAAAAGGGGGTGGGACCAGGGCAAGTGCCAAGGCATGGTCCACTGGAGGAGCCTCACTGTTCCTCTCAGGCCATGCAGGGAGGGGGTGTTGGATGGTGGTGCGGGCTGCCCGGAGAACTGGGCAGCAGAGGTCAAATGCCCAGCCTGGCCCTTGAGCACCCGCAGCACCAAGCCCAGCCCCACTTCCTCAAGGCTGCTGCTCAAGGTTCTCCTGGTTCCTCGCTGTTTCCAGACAGCCTTGTGGAGCTAAGACTGAATGTGTTTCAGCATAGATGGCCACCACAAAATCGTACATTGGCTCCCGGCCAGCCTGGGCCAGGGCCAAGGCAGCGAGGGCCGTTCCCTCACTGTTTCCAGGATGGCTTCGCAGGCCGCATGAAACCACTTCACGGGCCGCATCTGGCCCCCAGGCCTTGTGTTTGACATGTCTGGACTAGAAGGATAAGGAGGAGGAGGAGGAAGAGGAGGAGGAGGTGGTGGTGGTGATGATGATGGTCCTTGGTGTCTCTGAGCTTGGTGGTTTTCTTGCAGATGTTTCATTACCCAAGTAGCCCTGATGATGTTACCCAGATGGGTAATGAAATGTCTGCAAGCAAACAATCAAGCTCAGGGAACATCAAGGCCCTTCTGAGATATTTCCATGGTGCTTTTAAATTTTAAATACCTTGAGATCTCTGTGAACAATGCCCATCCGGTGAAGATAGTAGACAGCGTCCAAGACTTGTCGTATCAGAGTACTTGCATCCTTTTCAGTATAAAATCCTTTCTCCACGATGCGGTCAAATAGCTCACCTCCAGACACCCTGAAAAACATCACCAGATACAGCAAGATTTTAACAGACCTCATCATTAGATGACCAATTAGAACAGTGTTTCTCAACCTGTTTAATGCCGCGACCCCCAACCGGTCGTAAGTCGAGGACTACTCAACCGGTCGTAAGTCGAGGACTACTCAACTGGTGCAGCACCGTTTGCAGAATGGGGCTTTTGGCGGGCTCAGCAGGGCAGAGACAGCCTGGACAATTCCTATTGTCTTTTGAAAGCCAATAGAATTAGACTCTATTCAAGAGAGTCTATTCTATTGGCTTTCAAAAGCCAATAGAATAAAAGGGAGTAGCACAGCTAAGGAAAAGGGGGGGGAAAATGGCGGACTGCGTTGTTTGGCGACCCCCGTGAAATGGTCATTCGACCCCAAATGGGGTCCCGACCCACAGGTTGAGAACCACTGAATTAGAAGAAGAAGAAAAAAAACCCCAAAGCAGTCCGATTGAAAGGAATCAAATCTCTGTATCTTTCTCATTTTGGATGCATGCAATGGAATTGCAACACGCCAAGGAGAAAATCCGTCTTTTTTTTTTTCAACAATCTTTTTTATTAATTTTTTTCCCATCAACATATGTTAATTTTTCCAATCAAACAAGTTGTCTGGTGTTTGCTAAGCTAATACATGTTCACTTCCCAATCCTTCATTCTTTTCTCTAACCAAGAATAGAATAAATTCCAAATTTTATAATAGTCCGTATCTTCTTTGTCTTTCAGCCTCATAGTTAGTCTGTCCATCTCTGCACATTCCAATATTTTCGTGATTAGAGAAAATCCGTCTTTCATTTAAAGCCTGATCACATTTATTTCTGCATGTTTGCTTCAAATAGCTTTCAAGTGGGTAAGAAGGACAGTTCCTGGGGGGCCTTGTGCTTTGTATCCCAAAGTTAGTTATGTTTCTTAGAAATTGCCTGTTGCTTTTGCTAATTAGAATCTGAAATCCATGTAAAATATCAAAGTCCCTTTCTTGGGGGGGGGGGGAAATCAGAAAATAACAGGAGCATCTTTTCTAAACGTTCCAATCCGATTCCAAAATGTGAAGGGTGTTTGTAATGAAATGTCTCTTCTGAACCTTATCATAATTCTTGTAACTATTGAATTGCTGGAATCCCTTCATGAATTCCTCTAAGAATACCCAGAGAAAAGTGTGACAAATCTAAAATAAATTTCAGGAAGTCAATAAGATGCTCACTTTTCTTCTCAGATTCTATCATTTGATGAAAGGGAGAAAGGAATTTATCCTAAATGTGCTGTTCCAGCCTTCCAGAGTTAATATGTCTTTTAGCTTGAGTAGTATTGCCAAAAACTTTTTTTTTCATTTTGTATGCAGTGCCCACCTATAACACAGGATTAAAACAGAATGCAGCTGCGTGTGATCCACAATTATGAAATGACAATTTGCATGACGGTTTCCCTTCATTCCTTACAGGGAAGTGAGTCTTGCAAAAGGTTGCTTTTCACAGGCTCTTTCGTTTACAGGAGATTACATTTTGAATGTCTTCTGCTTCTTCTGGATTTGTAGACAGCGTGTGCATTTATCAGGCATTTTATTAAAATTCCTAATCAACAACCTGAACCCACAAATTGACTTTGTTAGCATTATCTTAGCCTTGCATTATTACGTTAAATACTTCTTGTGGCTGTATTCTCTAAGAGGATTTATTTATCAGTTATAACTATAACTCTAATAGCATTTTCTTTCCTGCACCATTAAAAACTTTCCCAGATATGGAGACTATAATCCTTGGGATGCTGGCTGGGGAATTCTGAGAGTTGAAGTTCAGACATCTTAAAGTTGCCAAGGCTGAGAAACATGGGTATAAAATAATTGTATACATGGTTATAACTAATAGATATAGTTATAGAAGGCATTGATCTGTATAATGGAGAAAAATGAGTGATATCTTTACTCGGTTCACCACAGATCCTTCAGCAATGGGATTTGCAAATCAGAATGAAATAACTTCCACATGCTTAAATGTCTGAGGAGATTTTCAGTCATCCAGATCATGGTTATCTCAAAGTGCTTTTTCAAAAGGCAACTGGACTTTTTTTTTTTTTCCTTCTTGAAAAAACAGTCCAGTTGCCTTCTGAAAAAGCACCTTTGAGTTTCCATATACCTAGTATCCACGTTATGCTAAATTTGGTCTTACCACCAAATCTAGCATTTTGTTGTTGTTAGTTGTGAAGTCGTGTCCAACCCATTGCGACCCCATGGCCAACATTCCTCCAGGCCTTCCTGTCCTCTACCATCTTCTGGAGTCCATTTAAGCTCCCGCCTACTGCTTCAGTGACTCCATCCAGCCACCTCATTCTCTGTTGTCCCCTTCTTCTATTGCCCTCAATCTTTCCCAGCATTAGGCTCTTCTCCAGTGAGTCCTTCTTTGTCATTAGGTGGCCAAAGTACTTGAGTTTCAACAAATCTAGCATAAGGTGGCACAGAAACAGATCATTGTCCTGTTGCATGACTGAATGTTGGTCAAGCTTGGTTGGTTGTATAAACAGAGGCATAAAATCAAAATCACGTGAAGTTCTTTATTAACACATTACAAAACCTTAGTAAGACCACACCTGGAATACTGAATCCCGTTTTGGTCACCACATTATAAAAAAGATGTTGAGACTTTGGAAAAAGGGCAGAGAAGAGCAACTAGGATTATTAATGGCCTGGAGACTAAAACATATGAAGAGCGGTTGCAGGAATTGGGTAAGGCCAGTCTAGAGAAAAGAAGGACTAGGGGTGATATGATAGCAGTATTCCAGTATTTGAGGGGCTGCCACAAAGAAGAGGGCCAAAAGAGGGGGTCAACTTATTTTCCAAAGTACCAAAGGGCAGGACAAGAAACAATGGATGGAAACTAATCAAGGAGAGAAGCAACCTGGAATTAAGGAGAAACTTCCTAACAGTGAGAACAATTAACTAGAGGAATGGCTTGCCCTCAGAAGTTGTGGATGCTCCATCACTGGAGGTTTTTAAGAAGAGATTGGATAGCCACGTGTCGTAAATAATATAGGATCTCCTGCTTGAGCAGGGGGTTGGACTAGAAGACCTCCAAGGTCCCTTCCTGCTCTATTCTGATTGAACAGCTGTTGGATAAATTGCCTCACATTTGACTCTAGAATATTTTGGTATGAGGAGGCGTTCATGGTCAACTCAATGAATATTGTGAGCAGTTACTCCTTAGTGGCCAAGGTTTGCAAAGGGACCATAACATGCAGAAGTCATGTTACTCAATCAGCATAACATGCATCACATCCCGTTCGTCTGTGAGAAATAACTGTACTAAGGGTTTACACAAATAACATACTAAGGATTTACACAACTGTCTCCAAGACACTAAAGGGAGCAAAGGACCTTATTCACCTTGTGAAGCTATAAAACTGCCAGGTGAAGAAATTTAACAGCCCAAACAGATTACCTAATGCTCCCTTTATTTGAAAAAAGAAATGGATATTAAATATCCATTGTTTGTTGCATAAATGTTCTGCAAGCTATGCGGCTTGGCATATGAAAATAACATGCTGAAACTTGCTATTAAAAAAAATAATCATTACAGGATAATAATACATTACCAGGAGTCCCTATTAAAAGACGTTTTGCTTTTCACTGTATAGACACGAGCAAATTCCTACGGCAAACTAAGGGAGCCAACATGGCGGTTAGTCAAAACAAAATTTAAGCAGATTGTCAGAAGGAAAATAAATCTTAGTTAAAAACTCTCGGTAGATGGTCTGTTGATGTTTAACTGCCAAATGTTTTAGAAGGAACAGGATGAAAATTAGCTTCCTTTTGCACGACAGATAATATATCGTTGAAGTTTGGAGAAGTTTAGATTTAAACCTGAAAGAGCAAGGGCTCCATTGAGTGCTAAGTCACTAAATAAACTCCGGATCCAACTGTTTGTGGAATGCAAGGTTATGTCGGGTGCCTTCTACAAACAACGAACTCTTCTGATTGTCAAATGCCTGGATTTTAATCCTGTGGCCATGGGGAAGACTGATGGTCATGAATGCAAGAACCAATTGTAAGTCACTTTTTTCAGCACCATTGTAACTTTAAATGATGATGATGATGATGATGATGATGATGATGATGATGATGATAATAATAATAATAATAATAGTTGGAAGGGACCTTGGAGGTCATCGAGTCCAACCCCCTGCTCAGGCAGGAAACCCTACAGTGTACACCATTTCGGACAAATGGCTGTCTTAACAAAAAACAAAAGAAAAAAAGACTAACACACATAGACATATTGTCCTCCCTAGCTAAATGCTGATTAATATAATATAGATTAAGAAGAACAGAAGAACAGTTGGAAGGGACCTTGGAGGTCTTCTAGTCTAGCCCCGTTCAGGCAGGAAACCCTATACCATTTCAGACAAATGATTGTCCAATCTCTTCTTAAAAACGTCCAGTGTTGGAGCACCCAAAATTTCTGGAGGGAAGCTGTTCCACTGATTAATTGTTCTAACCATCAGGAAGTTTCTCCTTAGTTCTAGGCTGCTTCTCTCCTTGATGAGTTTCCATCCCTTGCTTCTTTGTCCTGCCTTCAGATGCTTTGAGAATAGGTTGACTCCCTCTTCTTTGTGGTAGCCCCTCAAATATTGGAAGACTGTTATCATCTCCGCACTAGTCCTTCTATTCATTATACTAGACATACCCAATTGCAGCAAAAATATAGCAGTATTACTTTCCAATGCCTTGCAAAACAGACCAAAAGAATTTTAAACTGTTTTAAATTGTTTGCCCGTCCTTTCTGTATATACTTCCAATCTCAATTCTTGCGGCTTCATTTTCTCTATGACTTGGTTAAAAAGGAACAAAAAGCAACCCTTTCCATACTATAAATATTGACCTTGGAGAGAAAAAAACCCAAATGACCAGGGCCATTTTCCCAAGTTGATACAACAATATGGCACAATTCATTTATGCCCATAAATTACCATGAGACAAAGGGATTTTTTTGTAGTAAAATGG